GAGCCCTGTGCCTCCCCGCGGGCTCCCTCCCCGTTCTGGCCCGGCCTGGGGAGCAGCGGGGTGAGCGGCCAGGCCCCCGTCCGCACCTGTACTTGAAGGTGAAGCCCGTGCGGTCGGTGCCCACTCGGTACTGCCGCAGGAACTCCTTGAAGCGCCGCTGCAGCTGCGACTTACGGGCCTGCCCCTCGTCCGCCCCGGTGTCGCCCCCGAAGCTGTCGCTGTAGAAAATGCCGGGGTCGTCGAAGCCGGACATGACTGCACCTGGCGGGGGACGAAGGGCGGAGCGGGCTGGGGCGGCCGCCCTCGGACCTCCTGCAGGTCTCCCTAGCCGGGGTCGGGGGCCTCCAGGCCCCCAGCCACTTCCCCAGAAGCCCCTGCCCACAGCTACTGCGCCCCGAAACGCAGGCGCCTGCTGGGCCCCCGTGCGGCCCAGCCCCACCCGCCTTACCTCTCCGAGTCCACGCAAACACGCCCCGGGAGAGACAGAACTTCCACGCTCCGCAGCCGACTTTCGCGGGAAAAACCAGACGCGGCGTTCAGACGCCGCGGCCGCTGCGCCCTCATTGGTTGGCCGGGGCACTGCAACCAGCGATTGGCCCGCTCTGCGCGCTCGAGCCCCGCCTCCCGGGCTAGATGCTGAAGACGATTGGCTGCTGGGCGCCTGACGTCAGGACTCGCCTTTTTCCGGGCTCCATTTTGTGCGCCGAACAATTTGGCGCGAAACTTGCGATAGAGGGAGAAGCGGCCTTGAAGGGCGGGGAGCGAAGATGGCGGAGGGGTGGGGCTTGGGCGCCGGGGAGGAGCGCGGGAGTGTGGAGGGTCCCCTAGAGGACTTGCCTTAGCCCTGTTTTTCTTTCTTTTTTTTTTTTAAATTTAATTTTATCTATTTATTTTAATTTGACCAGAGAGGGACAGAGCGGGAAAGTGCGAAAGCAAGCGGCCGGGTTCGGGACTCAACCGCTGTTAGCCACGTGGGAGTTCAGAATCCTTAACCATCATGCCACCTGTGAGCCCCTAGGCATTTTTTTTTAGAGCCTTTTTTGCTATAGGGCACATGACCTAGCTGGAGAGACAGAAACAGAGACAGAGAGATGGAAAGCGAGAAATCACCCCCCATGGGGATGGCCAGGCAGCAATCCCTTATCCTCCATTCTCCTCTGGGGATTTTGGGCACACACACACCCCCGGTGTGAGGGTCTGGGACTTGAACTGCAGGTGACTATGTAGGAGTGCAGAGGCTCACCCCGAATCAGCCCCGGAAGGTGTGAGCAGCTGCAGCCTGGCTGGGCTGATCCTCGCAGCTTGGGCGCACCCCTGCCCAGTGTTCGCTGGTCAGAAACAAGTCACTGCTGTCCTAACCTCTCTAGGGCCTAAACAGCACAAACCTGAAACTCCAGGGATGTTTCTTTGCCCAGATGGTGATTTTGTGTTTGGGCGGGGGGCGGGGGTTGTTTGGTTTGGTTTTTGCAATAGGACACATGGGTCAGTGGGCATGCTTGCCCTTCCCCTCTGGCCATGTTGCTAGCAGGGCCCACAGCATGACCTGGGGTCACTTCCAGAGACCAATAAATTCCTTTTCCTCAGAAGTTTTGCTGTAGTTGTTCTTTTTGGCTCAACGGGGTTAACATCTCCAGGTGATTCTGATGCCACCAGCGCAGGCTGGTGTTCAGACACCACCAGATCCCCCCACCAGCTGCGGGAGGTAGCAGGTTAACATCTCCAGGTGACTCTGATGCCACCAGCGCAGGCTGGTGTTTAGACACCACCAGATCCCCCCACCAGCTGCGGGAGGTAGCATGCTGTCCTCATTTTACCAGTGAACAAAATGAGAATGGAACAGACTCGTCCAAGATGCCAGACTCAGTGACCTGGCCAGAGGTAGGGACACAGTGCTCCTGACTGAGTGCTCAGGTGCTGGGGCTTGAGATGCCTTGTCTCCTACTCTGCCCAGGGCACCTTCCATGAAGGTTTTCAGTTTCCCGGACTGGGAGGGCCCATATTTAGTATTCTGGTGGCTTCCATGACTTAGCGCAGTGGGAAGAGCTTGGGTTTTTTTTTTTTTTTAAATCATTCATTTACTTCTATTTGTTATTGTTATTATTATTATTAATTTGGCCCGAGAGAGACAAAGGCCAGAAAGCAAGCCACCAGGTTCGGGACTCAAACCGCAGTCAGACATGTAGGAACCCAGTGCCTTTAACCACCATGCAACCTGCCAGCCCCGTGCTTGGGTTTTAGGAGGCAGACAGATCAGGCTGAAATCCTTCTTGACCCTCAGAGAGTGGAAACACCCCTCACGAGTTAGCTGTGAGAATTAACACCGATGATGGGACCAGCAGTTACCATAACAGCTATGTTGCTGGACTCCCATGTAGTACACTGCGGTTTGAGTCCTGGACCCGGTGGCTTAAACTCACACCAGGCACACTGTCTGCGTGCCCAAGATCCCGAGAGGAGAATGGAGGAGAGGGATTACAGTGTGGCCATCCCTCCTGGGGGACAATTTCTTGCTTTCTGTCTCTCTCTGTCTTTCTGGCAAGCGCATCCCCCTATAGCAAAAACCTATCAAAAAAAGAAAAAGAATTAACACTGATGATATAAGTGAGGCGACTCCCTCGGGATGACAAGATTCACAAAACCCTGGTCTCCTCTTTGCACCATGGGAGCCAAGAGCAGATGGTTGCTGGCATGTGCTTCCACACAGGTGAGGTAGGTGCCGCTATACTCACATTATAGGTGATAACACTGAGCCCCAGTAACCTCAAAGTGGAGTCTCAGGAACTGGAACCCGACTCTCACCCCAGTCCCTAGAAGTCATTGTACTGAACACATCAATCAGGTCCACCCCAGAATCTGCTCATTTCAGCCTAACAGGACAACTCCATCTTCAGTAAAGGCGAGTTGCACTGAGCAGGGTTCATCACGACAACTCTCCCACCAACTGCTTAAAGCTCATGCCCTCCATTCTCCAACAGTGCCCAGCACCCAAAACCAGCTCCTGCCAACCCCAGCGTCACCGCATCGCCCACCAGGCATTTGAGAAACAAAGCAAAAGTTAATGGAGCCCATGACAGACACTTCCAATTACTATCAGTCAATGTTGTTTATTATTAATACTTTACACAAAAGTTAGCAATTAAGGCCACAGTGCTGTTCAACACCCCCTCCCACCTCCCCCCAAGACACTCCAACCCTGCTATAAAAACAACAAAATAGCACAGATCAGGCCAAGCCAGGAACCAAGAGTGGCTCCAACAAAAATGAGACAAACAGACATCTGTGTGTGTATATAAAAATCGCCCTGGCCCACAGGAAAGCGGTCCTTGCTGTCAACAAGACCACAACCCCAGGGCCTTGGGAGGCTCAGGACAGCTGCCACATCTGGCCACATGGTCCAGGCTCTGCTGCAGGAACAAGGGTGCTGAGGGGAGGGCTGGGTCTTGTCCTGCTTTAGAAGTTGAGGCTGTGAGCTGGATGTGCTTGTCATTGGAGAAGATGTCACAGGCTTCTTCCTCCTTTCCAGATGGAAGACACAGGGAGAGGGCTGGGAGCCCCCAAAGACCTCCCAGGCTCAAGTAGGAAACCAGCCAAGATCTTCTCCCTCTCCAGGAAGAAAGCCCTCCACTGGGCAGAGTTCATGGTCCCCAGGGACCAGGAGGCATGAATTCAGATGGCATAAAGTCCCACGGCCACCGTTGCCACCAGAAAGCTGAGTGTAAGGACCCATCGGAGCAGTGGAGCTTGAGAGAGGGCACTGTGCTGCAGCTTCCCTCTGGGAGTCTCCGTGAGGGTGGAATCTGCAAGAGTCAGGGGGCAAGGTCAACAACAGGCAGGGTGGGGGACGTCACAGAAAAGCAACACGAAGGGCCCCGGTGTCTCTAGTATGGCAGCTGACCAATGCCAGGACTCTGCTTCGGCCCAAACAGGAATCCCTCCTGCTACTGCTGGCAAGCCTTCAAAGAGGGAGTTCACGACACCTCCAGGCTGTCTGTTCCTCCAGCCTGAGCCAGACCAACCCAGGAGAAAATCCCCAGCTGATTTTCAGCTTCTGCCTCCCATCAGGAAGGCCCTCTCTTTAAACTTGACTGGTGACTAGGTCTGAGCTGTAAGCCCTCATCTCAGACTCTCATACATTTTCCAGGAACGGTGATAATGAGGCAGGAGCTAGAAAGCAGGGCCGCTGAGGTCAAAATTCAAGTTTAATCCTATCCTCCTCATTTGCGTGCGACAGGCCAGAGCCTGCCAAGCAGCCCGGGTGGGTGGATGTCTGCCACCACCTCAGGCTCCCAGTGAGTGTTCTCTAGGTCCCTAGAAGCAGGACAGTGTCCAGGGCAGCCCCCTAGAGCCAGAGCAGCTGGGTGGTAATCGAGTTCCACTGTGGGGAAGGAGAGGAAGAGCAAGGTGGAAATCTGGGGCTTCCTGGGAAAAAGCAGGGCCTCCTCTTGGTGGCCCAGAGTTACCGTCAGGAGAGGGGACTATAGGCAAGCAACACGCCACAGCTTTTACGCTTCCATTGCTCATCAAATTCAGGGAGCCGTTCTCACCCCTCTTGTTCTTAGGACCCTTTTATACTCACACGTGGCCAGAGATGCCAAAGACCTTGTGTTTGTGTGAGCACAGCCATGGCTGTTTACATTACCAGTAATTAGAACCACGCAATTTCTAACACGCAGGCATAAACAGGCACGCATGTCATTAGCCATCAGACCCATGAGGTCATCCTGTGTCAGCTACCCTTTGGGAAACTCCCACATGCATTCATGAAACGAGTTTAACAATGCACAAATAAATAAATAAATAGTAGTCATTTATAGTTTTGACCTCACAAACCCCAAGAGGGCACTGGGCCCCCACTCTGAGAACTGCCACGTTAGGGCCAAGTCCCTTCACCCCACCAGGCAGCAGATCCCGCCCAGAGTGGCCACCTTCCTACCCTCCCAGGCACAATCCTGCCAGGAGGGTATCCACATGGTCCTGGCAGCAGGAGGGAAGACCTACAGCAAGCTGCCAGGCGGGAGGCTGAGCCGAACCTCTGCCCAGTGAGGGAACGTTTAGCGGGATGCTTGGACTTTCTGGAAGTTTTCCAGATATTCATCACAGCTATGGCTCTGCAGACTCTCGGGGGCACGTGACCGAAGGGGGTGGGGAATAGGCCTACACACGAGGAGGACCAGAAGTCAATGTCTTCTCGTGTCCACCTCCCTTCCCCATGTGAGGGGCCTGCTCAGGAACACTTATTTATTTTATTTAAACTTCATTTATTTTCATTTGACCAGAGAAGGACCGGGCGAGAGAGAGAGAGAGAAAGTGAGAAAACAAGCCACTAGGTCCGGGACTTCAACCATGGTTGGCCATGTGGGAATCCAGCATCCGTTACCACCACACCACTTGCTGGCCCACTCAGGAACCTTTAAAAAGAATCCTATAAAGGAATCAGCCAAACAGGTGGTGTGGTGGTGAAGGTGCTGGATCCCACATGGCCGACTGTGCAGTTCAAGTCCCAAGCCCAGCAGCTTGAAAAACATGCCTGGCATTGTGTGTGAGCATGCCCAGAACCTGGAGGAAAATGGGGTTGTGGTGTAGCCATCGCCCCAGGGGAGTGTGAGGGGGTTATCTCTTTTTCTCCCCGTCAATCCCCTACAAGTGCACACACCCTGTGACCAAAATCTAAAAAAAAGATTAAAATAAAAAAGGAATCCGAATTAAAGGGCCAGGGTGCCCATGACTCCTAGAGGGCTGTTGTGCACTTTTGAGCCAGTGAATTAGGAGCTCTACCTGCCTTGATTTTCAAGGTGGGAAACTGAGGTATGGAGAAGTCTCAGCTTGCTCAAAACTGCACACTGAAGGCTGACCGCATGCCTTTCTGCCTGCACCCCACTTCTCATTTTACAACAGTCATAAAACAGCCCAGTAAGGAGACAGAGAGCTAGCCACGTGTCGTCCCTTCCCCAACAGAGGCCCAAAGGAAACACCCTCCCTGGAAGCCCTCACCTTGGGCACTGCCTCCGGCCTGCTGGGGATGGTCTGGTGCCTGGGTCAGCAGCTCTTGCAACTCCTCAAACAGCTGAAAGAGAGAAGATGCACATGCCCATTCAGCAAGATAGCTGGGCCCCGGAAATAACACAACCACAGAAGAACACTGAACGTTGCGTATGTCTTCCCCTGAAGAGGGACGTCACCAGACGCACAGCTGGCACCCCTCCACCTGGAACAGCTACAACTGCCCTGGACTGAGAGTTCACCATGAGCGCACTGGCTTTCAGGAGTGTTCAGTGGTGGCCACTAGCCTAGGTTTGCAGATGCGGAAACTCCAGAAGTCAGGCATCAGAGCCACCCTCAGACAGGCCTGGCTCCAGAGCCCCTGCTCCGTGGACTACGCGTCTGTAAGACACTGACTTCTTAGATGGGGATATGAGGGGAGCACTGCTTCCTATCAGGTACTGAACCAGCGTCTTCTGCTGCCCTTGGCTGTGACGAGGTAACCAGGAGGGCATGAGCTCGGACCCCAGCCCAACAGTGCCTCCCAGTGGGTGGGGAAGGCAACAGGACTCTACATCGGGGTCGGAAGGATGCCACCCCTACTCAGAGTGCCCATCCCTCCAGCTCCACCCAAGAACTCATCCTTCAAGGCCTTGCTCAAACCCCGCCTTTCCCCAGGATGTGAGGCACGTATGGAAAAATGTCCGCTGCCTTCCTGGCTGGCTGAGTCCCTTGAGGGCAGAGGCCATGTCACCAGCACCTGTTACCTCTGCGTGACCACTTGGCTACACGTGACTGCTATGCTGTCACAGCCGGTTGTCAAGAGTGCTACAACTGCGATTCTCCAGCCCCGTAGTAATGGAAGCTAATACGGAGGGCACGCCCTGTGCCAGGCATTGCCATAGGGTCTCTACTGGTGTAACTCGCTTAATCCTCATCACTAACTCTGTATCATTACCTCTATTTTACAGATGGGGAAACTGAGGTGCAGGGAGGTTAAGGGATCTACCCAAGATCAGCCAGCCGGTAAGTTGCAGAATTGGCACGCTGGCCTCTAAGTCCCTGCACTTAGCCACAGTCCACACCACCCTCCCCCCGTGCAAGAGGAACGCCCTTGGAGAGGTAGCTGGGGGAAGCATGGACACCCAGGGCCGTCAGACCCTCACCTGGATGTTGAGCAGGAACGCGGTCTTGGCCTCGTCGACGACCCTCTCCCTGATCTCGGGGGTCATGTCCAGAGAGTTCATGCGGGAGCGGTAGAGCTGCTTGAACTTGGTGGCGCTGGCGATGCCGGGAAAGGTGAAGAAGGCCAGGCCCTCGCCGGAGGGGGGCAGGTCCAGGGCCTTCTGAGCAATCTTCTTGAGGACCTGGCCCCCAGACAGGTCACCCAGGTAACGGGTGTAGGCGTGGGCCACAAGCAGTTCGGGCTCTGTCTGCCCCACCACGTGGAGTCTCCTCACATAGCGCCGCGTGGCTGGTGTGTAGGGGAGGACCTCCTGCCAGCGAGGTCCGTACCAGAAGGCCATGTCTTGCTCCAGGGCGGCCTTGCGGTGAAGCTCTTCTGGGAAGTAGAGGGGGGCATAGACAGGGTTCTCCTTGTTGTGCTCGATCTCCTCCTCCAGGGCCACGTAGATGTGGTACAGGGACGCCATCACCAGCTGAAACCAACGGGCAGGTCAGGCCACCGCCATCCAAAGACCCCCACTGCCACCTGTCCCTTCAGTGACACCTTCACCTTCAGGAAGGGCCAGATCACCCCTTCCCAGCTGGGCTCCCACCTCCTGCTGGCCCCTCCAATCCTCTCTACCCAGCAGCCAGAAAAATTTTCACAAGAGAAATATTCAATTATGCATTTTCTCTGCTTAAAACCTTTACCCCAACTGGATAAAATATGTGGCCTAATTCAACCCTTATTTAAAATAAAATCCACGGGGCAGCAGAAGGCATAGCTATTACATTGCTGGACTCCCACATGGCCGACGGTGGTTTGAATCCTGGACCCAGTGGCTTGAAACTCATGCTGGACACGTGTGTGTGTGTGCCCAAGATCCCAGGAAAAGAATGGAGAAGGGATTACGGTGTGTCATCCCTTGGGGAGTGATTTCTCATTTCCTATCTCTGTCTCTCTCTCTGGTGAGTGCACATGCCCTAAAGCAAAAGACTCTGAAAAAAAATATATTGAACAAAGGATTCCCACTTCACAGAAAAGGAAACTATGGCTCAGAGAGGGTATGAGTCTTGCACAGCTTGTAAGAAAAAAACTGGACTCACAGACGTTGCTAGGGAGCCTGACTCCAGAGCAGGAAAGGACCTGATACAAGTGCTTACAGGAGACGGCCAGGTGCCTCTGCCCTTCGACCTCTGGGTGGCCATCTGCCGGGCACAATCCTCACCGGCCCACTCTGAAATCCACCGCCTCTGGATGCTAGGCTGGGGTGTTGTGCTCTGGCACAGTTTGGCTCAGGAAGTAGCCCGTTACACACGAACGTGTCTGAGTTTGAAGGAGGGTAAATTTTATTTGCTACAGGGCGTGCGGTGCACACTCACCAGAGACAAAGAGAGAAAGAGAAACAGAAAGCCACCAGGTCCAGGACTCGAACCACGGTCAGCCATGCGTGAGTCCAGCGCCTTAACCACCTTGCCATCTGCCGCTCCAACAGCCCCATTACTTAAGGGAAGGAAAAGGCAGACAGCCTGGTACAAAAGAGACTGGGTGGGGCCAGCAGGTGGCATAGTAGTTAAGGTTCTGCATCCCATGTGGGCAACTATGTGGTTCGAGTCCCAGAGTCCATGGCAAGAAAAACACTCCAGGTGTGTATGCCCAAAATCTTGAGGAGAAGGGATTTATGGCGTGGCCATCCCACATGGAGTGATTCTTTTTCCTTTCTCTTTCTGTCTCTGTCAAAAAGTCTAATAAGTGCCTAGGTTTTTGAGTTCAACAGACCTGGTCCCAACCTCGGCGCTGCCAGCCGAGCTGTGTGACTGTGGGTGAGCCACTTGCCCCCTCTGGTCTCAGCTTCCCATCCTGAAGTGGGCTCTGAGGTCTGTGTGACTCTAGGCCAAGTCAAGTCTCATTCCCTCCCTGCCAAAGAGGATCATCTAACCAGGTCCTACACGGCGCTGGCGTGAGCACCAGGTGGGATGCCATGGGAGAGGCACAAGTCGTGGCACCCAGTGCCCAGATCGGAGAGCCCGTGGCAGCGCCGCTTGTCGGCAGAACACGTGTGCTCTGGGTTCTCTTACAGGTCTCAGTGCCACCTTGACTCCCGTGACTGAGAGGCTACATCCAAAGTCTATGGTGGCTGGGATGGGACATGCCAGGACCATCACCCCAGCCCCACCTGTCCCAGCCACATTACAACAACTGGGCATGCATCATCTCTGTGAGGGAGTGCGGAGGAGGGCGAGGAGGGCTCAGGACCCACAGGGCCCACCCGCCCAGGACGGCAGGTTCACCATCCATCACTGAGGGTCTCTCAGGTGAGAAGCAGGGTGGGGAGAAGGGGCAGGTCCAACTGCCCACCCCACTGTGCAGCCTGAACAAACCTCCCAGTGCAGAAGACCGAACACCCAGCACCCTGCCTGTCCTCATCAAGTGCTTTCCTCCTATGCGTGAGAATTTCACAACAGGGCCAGGAAACCACAGAACTGGCGCCTAACACGTAGTGGTGCTTAAGAAAACCCCGCTGGTTGGGGCCAGCAGGTGGCGTGGTGGTTAAGGTGTTGGACTCCCACATGGCCAATTGCAGTTCAAGTCCTGGACCTGGTGGCTTGCTTTCTCGCTTTCTCACTTTCTCTCTCTTGCTCTGTCTCTCTCTATTTCACTTTCTAGTCAAATTAAAATAAATAAAATTAAATAAAATAAAAAGAAAAGAAAACCCCACTGGTGAAAGCCCATTTTACAGACGGGTGGCTGCGGGAGGTCAAGACGATGCCCCAAGTCTCACTGTTAGAAAATGATCCTACTCCATTTTCATAGGCAAATTAGAATTAGATCAGAGGACAAGCTCTAAAATGATACTGGTCTTAGTTTGATTTTGGACTTTTACACTCATGGGCTGTGACCTTCTGATAATCACTTAACTCTCTTGAGCCTTCCCTTCCTGCCTTTTTCATCCAGGTTGAGGCACGGATTAGAAATCAGGTGTATAGAGAGCCCAACATGGAACACATACTCGGTTGACACCGCAGTTGTCCCAGCTCCTCCATAACTTTAGGTAGCAGGCTGCGAACTGACTGTGTGACCTTGGGTGAGTCAGCTCCCCTCTCTGGGCCTCAGGGCCATCATGTGTAAGATGACTCCCATATGGCATGGCCATCTGATCCCTTGGGATTCTTGGCTCCAACAGTCACTTAAACCACTGGCCTGAGCACAGGCACACCCACCCTTGCCACACCCTCCACCAGGGCTGTTCACCAGGACACCTACCTTAAAGCCCTCTCGGGTCACCTGACCCTTCTGAAAGTTCTTCATGAACTCGGCGTTCTCCGCCTGCGTGTGCACCTCCTTGGTGGCCTCTTTCAGGGCCTCTGACAAATCCAGGGCCATGCTGCAGAGGGAAAGAAAGGGGGTGAGCAGGGGCTGGCCTGGGGCTTCTAGCTCACCACTGAGATTTAGGCCCTGCCTCAGGAGGGTTCGCCGTATCACCGCATCTGCAGAAGTCAGCCCAGCCTCCCAGTGTGACACAGGCCACATTCCCAGCAGCTTTAAATGCAGTTCTATAGCCAGCAGGTTAAGGGGCAGGATCCACACCGCAGGGGGTGTGACTGAGTCCCGTACTCCATGGCTTGAAAAAATATGCTGCGGGGAGGGGGGGCGCCAGCAGGTGGCGTGAGGTTAAGGGCGCTGGACTCCCACATGGCTGACCTCAGTTGGAGTCCTGGACCTGGCAGCTTACATTCTCACTTTCTCTCTCTCTCTCGCTCACTCTGTCCCTCTCTGGTCAATTTAAAATAAGCAAATAAATTAATAAAGTGAAAAAAAAATTCTTTTAAAAAAAAGAAAAGAAAGGAAAACACATGGGGTATGTGTTCCCCAAGTCCCAAGAGGAGACTGGAGGAGAAGGGATTCCAATGCAGCCATCCCCCTGGTTGTGGGGTGTTTTCTCACTTTTCCTCTGTCTCTCCCCATCTCTCTCAGGCAATCATGTGTACTCCATAGCAAATTATTTAAAAAAAAATGGGAACCAGCAGGTAGCATGGTGGTGAAGGTACTGGACACATGGCGACCGCGGTTCCAGTTCCAGACCTGGTCGCTTGCTTTCTCACCTTCCCTCTCTTTCTCTCATTCTCTGTGTCTCTTTCTGGTCAAATTAAAAACAGAATAAATAGGGACCAGCAGTTAGCGTAATGGCTATGTTGCTGGACTCCCATGTAGTTGACTGTGGTTCAAGTCCCGGACCCAGTGGCTTAAACTCATGCCGGGCGCGTGTGCATGCGTGCCCAAGATCCCGAGCGGAGAGTGAAGGAGAAGGGATTGTGGCATGGCCACGTCCCCTGGGGGGTGATTTCTCACTTTCTGTCTCTGTCTCTCTCTGGCAAGCGCATGAGCTCTATAGCAAAAACCTCTCCAAAAAAAAAAAAAAAACCAGAATGAATAAATTAAATAATTCTTTTTTAAAAAAGTAGCCTTATAAACACTCTTCAGTCTAAACGCATGTACTATAGGTCGCTCCCCCAGCCAAGGAAACCCAATGAACAGCAGCAGCAATGTGAACAGGCATGCACAGCTACAGAGGCACTGCTTTGACTAACTTTTAGACTCAATATTTAATTCTTCTATTTTGTTGAAGTCGATACAAATTTCATGACCCCTATAATGTCAGGGTCATTATCAAAGCATCTGGATTCAAAAGCCCGAGAAATCTTGCTTTCTTCACCAAGAAAGGCTCTTTCTGGGAGTAGTTCTTCCTTTCTTTTTTTTTTTTAAAGAATTATTTATTAATTTCATTCATTCACTCATTCATTTTAATCTGACCAGAGAGAGACAGAGAGAGAGAGAAAGAGAGAAAGCAAGCCACCAGGTCCAGGACTCAGAACCATGGTCGGCCATGTGGGAGTACCCTGGGCCTTAACCACCACGCCACCTGCTGATTGCTGCTTTCTTTCATTTTTTTTTTTTTTAATGAGAGATTTTTACTATAGGACAGTTGTACTACCAGAAAGAGAGAGAGACAGAAAGCCAGAAATCACCCCCCAGGGGGGATGGCCACACCACAATCCCTTCTCCTCCACTCTCCTCTCAGGAGCTTGGGCACCCACGCACACATGCCTGGTCTGAGTTTAAGCTGCTGGATCTGGGACTCCCACGGTGGTTGACTACATGGGAGTCCAGCGACATAGCCATTGTCAACTGCTGGTCCCTCTTTCTGGGAGTATTTCTGCCTTGTGTCTGTATCTCCCTCCCACCCCACAGAATTGTCATTTCTCCCTTCCCCTACACCCTTCCAGAAACATCTCCTGTTCTATACAGGCTGGTGAATGAATCCTCAGAAAAGAGAAAAAGTGAGACTCGGTGGGAGACAGTTCAAGCTTCAATTAAATCCCAGCTCTGACACCTGCTGGCTAGGCAACTTTGGGCACGTCGCCTCTCCGGACTGTACACTCCTCACCGTCGCCAAGGTGAGGCTGCGCTCTGGCGCTCCACAGCTAGCGATGCCATCAAGGAACCAAGCACGGCCACCCAGGCCTGAGTAGCCCCTGGATCCTAGATTAAACAGAGCGCCTCCGAGCACACCTCAAAAGTTGGTTATTAAAAAAAAAAAAAAAGTTGCCTATCTCAAAGGTAGGGACACTCCTATCTGGTCACCCGCTGGGGACCTAGGTACCAGGTAAGTAAATCACCTTCTCACCCTCCAATGACCCCATGAGAAGCTCCTGCCTGCAAAGCCCAAGTTGCTGGCTGCTCAGTTCTCTCGCTGCCCCGCGGTGTCTCTGGGACTAGCTGAGACGCGAGCTGGGAGGGGAGAGAAAGGCACCCCACGCTTGCCTGTCGGGCTGCGGGCGTTCCATTCGGCTGGAGCTGGACCCGCCGCGGTGCTGGGTCCCCCCGGGGGGTGGGTGCTGGACTCGCCTGTGTTGGCTCCGCCGCGGTGCTGGCTCCGCCCGGGTGCTGGACTCGCGGTGCTGGACCCGCCGCGGTGCTGGCTCCGCCCTGGTTGTTGACTCGCGGTGCTGGACTCGCGGTGCTGGCTCTGCGGACGGCGGTGTCTGGAACTCAGGAGCGGAAGCAGACTAAGACTGTGCCGAGCCGCCGCCGCGCGGGCTATTTATGCTGCAGCAGGGTCACGTGGGCGCCGCCGAACAGCTGATGCCCACTTTCTGGCCAGAGGTTGCAACACCGCGAGGCCCGGCCCCGCCCACCCCTGGCCCGCGGGCTGGAGGGGAGAAATCATATGATCCTCGGAGAACAAAGCCAGGCCCCAGGACATTTACAGGGGAGAAAAAAAACACGAAACTTTTGGAAATCTGAGCAGTCCAGGGTGCAACTTTGCTTCTTCTAAAGCCTCCCATCCAGTGATGGGGCTTGGCGCATCCCAGAAATCTCGAAAATTCCAGGGAGCTGGGAGGCAACCCGGCTCAGAAAATGAGTCTGGCATACAACGTCAGGGATTTACTCACCCAGACCCCGCAGTCTCCTGCCCTGAGAATCTGCCCCCTAAAAACGTCCCCTCCTCCCCAAACCCTGGGCTGACAGCCTACCTTCTCAGGACCCCTTGAAACGTACGTTTAGGGCCTGTTTTTGGAGCACACGCTGAGTGCTAGGTCATAGTTCATCCCTGCAAGGATCCTGGGGTAGAACTCTCCCAACTTACAGGATAGGGAACTGAGGCTCAGGGGCATGGGGCTGTGTGCCCAGGGTCACACCTACGACAGGAAACAGGGATCTAAACCCTACAAGGAGTCCCAGTCTCTGCCCACCTCCTCTGCACTGTTAGCCCTGGGTGCACTCCCAGGCTGGGGCGCTCTCTTCTCCCGGCTCAGACCGGACATGTGGGATCTGCCTCTCTCCTCAAGCCCAGTGCCTACTCCGGCCTGGAGCAGGGCTGGCCCTACCTGGTCACCTGCTGAGCTCATTTTGCATGGGGCTTGCTCAGGACAAACAGGACCACTGGGTGAGCCTCAGACCAAACAGATGGGCCAGGTGACTCCTAAATCCCTTCACAATGCTGCCATTCAGATTCCAATTTTTTCTTAATTGCCAGAGGGCAATTAAGGGAGAGACAGAGAGAGGGAGAAATCACCTCCCAGTGAGGTGCAGTCACTGCAATCCCGTCTCCACTTCTCCAATCTGGTCAGAATTTTGGGCACGCACCCTGTGTGTTTGCAACCACTGGGCCTGGAATTTAAACCACAGCCAGCCATGTGGGGTCTAGCTTCTTTAACCTCTAGGCTTTTTTTTTTTTTAATGACTTCCAGTGACTAGGATGCTGTTTGGAAAAGAGGGCAGTGTCTCTTCTGAAGCGTTCCTCGGAAGGCACGAGTACAGACTTCAGGATAGTCTGTCCAGCATGGATTCTTGCCTAGGGGAAGGGGGAGTGCTGTGGTCCCTTTCACCCATGCTCAACTTGGGCCTCTGTATGGCCACCTCTGCTGATGACAGGCTTCCCTGTGCTAAGGTCATGGTAACTGGAGGGGGGGTGTCATTTCAGATGCCGCAGGGGTATAAGACTAGCCAGAGAACAAGGATACTCCCACTACTGCCCAGAACACACTTCTAAAATAATCTTGAGAAGGATCTGCTCAAGGCTTTGTTTTGTAAATTCCCAGCACTGGGGGGGGTGGGGGGGCAGCAGGTGGCATGGTGGTTAAGGCACTGGGCTCCCAGTTGGCCAAACACAGTTTGAGTCCTGGACTTAGCAGCTTGTTTTCTCCCTTTTCCTCTCTGTCTCTGATGAGCACATGTGTCTTATAGCAAATTAAAATCATAATAATAAAATAAAGTCAATAATTCTTTTTAAAAAATCATTATTTTTGTTATACGGCGCATGCGCTCACCAGACAGAGAGACATAGAGACAGAAAGCGAGAAATCACCCCCCAGGGGGGATGGTCACGCCGCAATCCCTTCTCCACCATTCTCCTCTTGGGCACTCACGCACACGCGCCCGGCATGAGTTTCAAGCCACTGGGTCCAGGACGCGAACCGCGGTCAACTACGTGGGAGTCCAGCGACATAGCCATTACGTTAACTGCTGGTTCCCAAAAAATCATTATTTTTTATTTATTTTATTTTTAAAATTTGACCAGAGAGAGAGAGAGTGAGAAAGGAAGTCACCAGGTCCAAGATTCAAACTAGGGTTGATCATGTGGGAGTCCAGCACTTTAACCACCAAACCATCTGCTGGCCCCCTAAAGTGAATAATTGTTTAAAAAAATCCCAGCACCTGGAACAGAGCCTGACAGGTAACAGTTAATACTGAATGAAGGAATGAATGAATGGAGGGGCTGGCAGGTGTGTGGTGGTTTAAGGGCACAGGACTCCCACATAGCGACTATGGTTCAAGTCCTGGACCTGGTGGCTTGCTTTCTCATGCTCTGGTCACATTAAAATAAATAAAGTTAAATAAAATAATTATTTAAAAAGAGAGAGAGAGCAAGTTCTCTTCTCTTTCTATATATAAAAAGGAATGAATGGACACTGCAAGTCTGTTTCTGTTAGGCCGAATAGTGATGGGCTGCCAGAAAAGGCTGGAAGCACCTACACGTACAACTGCAATCCTGGCCAGCCTTTGCTGAGCGCTTGCTGCGTGCAGAGCCTCTGTGCCCACCCTGCCTCAGCCCATCGATGGCCCTGTGGGGTACGTACAGTCGTCACCTTCACCTCCGTCTTCTGCAGTACGCACTGGGGCACACAGGCGCTAAGTGATTGTCTTACACCTCAGCTAGTGATGGCAGAGCCGGGATTCGATCGTGGCACGCTGAAGCCGGACTCCGCACTCCTGACGACCACACTCCAACCCCTCTCACACAGGGTCCAGGAGTTTAGGGGAGAAGAGTGTGATGGTCTGAAAGCTTGCCACCGGCGGATTCAGAGCGTCCAATTCAGGGACTCCGGAAGGGAAAGCTCACGTGCTCCGGTTCATTCTAATTTAACACAGAGTAGAGGCCCCAAAAGGGGGAAGGACTGGAAATTCCTAGCTCCTCGCTCAGGTCCCTTCCCCAACTGTTCCCTGGGAAGCCCAGATGAGGCTAGAGCAGACCCCACGTGCTGAAAACACTGTGGGGGCAGGGGAAGCCAGGCCAACGCCTTGCTGGTCCTCTTCCTCCTCACAGAGTTGAGCTGTGGCCCTTCCCCTGGTTGAGTCAGCTTCCTGATTCCCCCTTCCCTTTCCTCAAGTCACTGAATAGTCCAAATGCTATTCTTCCTCTTCTGCCATAGTCCCAAGAGTGGCCTCTCCAAGGTGTCCACATCCCATCCCCCAGAACTGTAACTGGGGGATCTTGCGTGGCTAGAGAGTTTTGTAGGTGAGAATAGTCAGTGTTCTTGGAGATGCGAAGATTATCCTCATGGGCCTATGGTCATCACAAAGGCCCCTGTAAGAGAAAGGCGAGTCGGTGACAAAGAAGGTGATGGGAGGGCCAGCCAGTAGCGTGGTGGTTAAGGCAGCTGGCCCTATGGCAAAAATCTAAAAAAAAAAAGAGAGAGAATGAGAAGGGAAAAAAGAAAGAAAGGAAGGAAGGAAGGCAGACAGGCAGGCAGGCAGTCAGTCATTCTAGAACAATCTGTGGAGAGAGAATGAGAAAGGGAAAAAAGAAAGAAAGGAAGGAAGGAAGGCAGACAGGCAGGCAGGCAGTCAGTCATTCTAGAACAATCTGTGGAATACAAGGTCTATTTAATTTTGTGTGTGTTGTTGTTTTGGGGATTTTTAGGTTTTTGCCATAGGATGTGTGCACTTGCCAGAGAGAGGCAAAGTGAAAAATCACCCCCATGGGAGATGGCCATGCAGCAATCCCTCTCCTGTTTCCTCTCAGCGTTTCGGGCACACATGCACAGGCATCCAGCATAATTTTCAAGCCACCAGGTTGGGGACTCAAATCTCAGTCAACTATGTGGAGTCAAGCATCTTAACCCCTACATGGCCTGCTGGTCCATGGTCTGCTTTTCTTAGACATTGGTCAGGGTCAGGTCAGGGTTGACTTCACAGGCAGAGGCCCAGGGAACCCCAGGGAGCTTCAGGGAGCCCCAGGGAAAAGTGGTGGAAAAGCAAGCCCTCAGGACAAAGAGCAGCTAGCAGGTTCTGCTGCTGGAGCTGAGAGAGGGAGGGACAGGGCAGAGGAGCGGTCAGAGAGCGATGGGGACAGAGCCCACAGGGCCTGGCCCGCTGCGGCATGCACCCCTCATACAATGTACAGCCTGCAGGTTTCCAGTGCAGGGGTGACCTGATCCTGCTTAGGATTCCTGGACCGCTGTGTTTGCTGGGGAAGGCTCAGGGCACAAGGCTACCTGCCGTACTCCAGGTGGCCGCATACTCCAGGTGACCACAGTACTCCAGGGGCCCACATACTCCAGGGACCCGCAGTACTCCAGGTGGCTGCAGTACTCCAGGGGCCCACATACTCCAGGG